AAAATAAATAGGGGAAATGAGAAAAAGTATAAAAATACCCTTAATATACATTGATGTCTTTTATATGTCATGTGAGATTGAAAAGTCTATCTAACTCTAGCTCAGATATGAGAAACATTGTATTCCAATCCATTATACAAGCATGTAAACTGGAATTCTCTATGCATTGATCTCTAGTGTTAGTTTACAAAAGACAAAATAGTCATCAGTTGTTCCAGTTTTTCTGTCTGGTTTACACCAATTTAGTATTCTACAAAGTGACTTGTTATCCAACTGTAATTTCAATTTCACAAATGAGAAAATGGTCAGTAGCTATTCCAATTTGTTTTGTGGTTTACCAATATATATATATATAGTATTCCAGAAAGATAGTGGTTCTTCAATTATGATTTGAGTGAAGGTTCATTAACAACGGATGTAGTGGACATCTACCTTTGCCCATTAATCCATTTGTTCTTTTACATGTCCCTCTTCCAAAAATTAGTAGCAATAACTTGCACCATCATCATCGTGTGTGATTGCAACACAATGGTATGGAAATGCAATTGAACAATTCAACCATAAGAGTTGACAATCTTCTTAATATTAATAAATCAAATTTTGAGAAGACCAATTATGCTGAGTTTTAGTGCCTAGTGAAAAAAGTGCAAAATCTGCTCAATAACAACTTTATGATATCAAAATCCCAAACAAATTGGTACCAACTTGATTAGATAATAATCACAATTAAACAAGAAGAAAACAAACATAAATCATACCACAAATTACCTTGCTGATGTTCTTCAAAAAGCAAAGATCTTAATAGCATATTTCAAGAGAAAAAAACACATACCAATAGTTGATGCAGAGAAAAACTCCGATCTTTAACCCGAGAAACAAGATTCTACCTCTTATGCAGAGGAGACGTTATGTGATTGGTGATTTTCGCATTGAGATCACACAGTAATCCTTTCCCGAAAAGTTGTTCTAGGGCAGATTTATAAGAAACACTTGACTCTCCAACATACATAATATCGTTTATTAGATGATGATCTTCTCTTGAAATGCCCTTCCTTTGGGCCAACAGTGAATCAATCCCATGTCCAGTCTGAGCAATTTGTCATTTTTCATTTCATTGTGCAACCACATAGCTATTAAGAGAGAGATCCTGACTTTGTGTAGAAGTTCCAGGCTCAGTCTCCATGTTATGTAAATCATTGAACCAAGGGTTTAGGCCATAAACTAATATTTACATCAATACATAGGTCCCGTTTGGTAGAGCTGTGGGAAAGTGATTGTAACTTATAACTTAATATCTTATAGTTTGTAGCTGTGAACATAAGCTGATTTTTGACTTATAAATTAAGCTTCTCCACCCCCACTCAAAGAATAAGTTGATTTTTGACTTACAAAAAGCTATAAGCTATATTGTTAAGCTAAATCAAACACATCAAAATAGCTTAAATTAAGCTAAAATCTGAAATAAGCTGGAATTAAGCCCTACCAAACGGGGCCATAATCAAGCACTGTAATCAGAGATTTACATCCCTTTCTCAGGGATTCCTACAAACCTCCATAATCAAGCACTCTAATCAGAGATTCATACACTAATATTTACATCAATACATACATATAAAAAAGGGATTACTTGATCAATGCTAGATTCAGAAGTTGATAGACGAATCTTTCGAGCTTGATCGAACAGAGCAAGGAGAGACATCTTTTTCATCTTTAATTCACCCATTGGTGATGTAATCGAAATGGAAAACCCTAGAAATTGAATCGAGGGATTGGAAAAGAGAATCGAGAGTCAAATTTGAAACTGTAGGTTAGGGTTTGGAGTTTTGAAATGAGAATAGTTGTTATGCCCAAGAAAATAGGGCAAATCTAGGTAAATCGATGCTTTGGTTTTTGACGAATGTGAGGAGGAGCAGTGGAGGAGAGCTATTCTATGGCTGGTGGAGCGGCGGTGAGAGAGGGAGGAGAGAGGAGCAAGGAAAGAGAGAGAGAGAGAGAGAGAGAGAGAGAGGGAGAGGGAGAGGGAGAGAGAGGAGATGGAGATGGAGAGGAGAGGGAGACGTTGTATTTTGATAATAAGAAGAAAATAATATATATATTATGTTGGGGTTGAAGAGTTGGTGCTTTTGATTGTTTTTTTTTTTTTAAAAAAAAAATTTAGTGTTTACCGCTCGAAATTTTTATTTTGGCACTGTTTCTTTTTCGGTTGTACCTTTCATGACAGTAGTTGCGTGTCATGAAAAGTGCAATATTTTAAACGGCTGGCTTTTTGTGCGTTGTGGAAAGTGCAATTTTTAATAGCTGGCTTTTTGTGCGCCGTGAAATGTTCAATATTTTTAATAGCTGGTGTGTACACATGCCGTGTAAAATTGATGTATTAACAGGATGTTGTATGCACATCATAGAAAGTTATATTATTTACCCCTCAGATTGCAAGATGTAAAAAATCCATCCTTATTAGCATTCACGACCTACGTAGTCGACACATTGTGGTTGGGGAATTATTTGCGACATGCAAAAAAAGCAAGTCGAAAATGTGAGAAACGACGACTTGCATTTACTGTATGTTGTTGATGTGAAGTTGTAAAAGCCCAGTTTTGTTGTAGTGACTTTTTGATCTCATACACTTTGATGTTTGGGGGCTAGCACCTCATATCATTGTGGGGGGATCTAAGTCCTTTGTTATTTTTGTAAATGATTTCACTCATTTTAATTGGTTATTTCTTATGAAACCTTACTCTAAGTTACAATAAATATATTACGATTTTTCACAAATGATCAAAACTCAATTTTCTTACACTATCAAAGTTCTTCATGTCGATAATGCCCAGAAATGCAAAGAAACTCAATTCTTGAGATTCTTTCGTCAAAATGGCACACTTTCTCATTATTGTTATCTGGTAACTCCAAACAAAATGGTCACACTGCGTGTAAATATCGCCATCTTTTAGACACTATCCGTGCTCTCTTAATCACTTCTTATCCTAAGTGCTTTTGAAGAGAAGTTTCTCTCACAACCACCTATAGTATCAACCATGTTCCTTTCCTACTGTTAGGTCCCTGTGTTGTCAAATCCGGAGACAAAATCTTATGTTGATTCAAAACTCTGTTTTTCTGTTTTTGTACTGTCCGCTCGAGCGGAGACTATTGAGCTCGAGCGTAGATTAGCAGGTCACAGTAGTTTGACAGGGCAAGCACAGATACTGGAAGGTGTGATTTGACGCTCGAGCGGAAACTCCTACGCTCGAGCGCATCTCTGTTTCTTCGTATGCAGTTTTTGTTCAGTCCGCTCGAGCGGGCTATGTTGAGCTCGAGCGGAGATCGCGATTCAGATTCCTATTTAAAGCTGCAAAACAAAAATTTATTTCTTATCTTTAGTGACCAAAAGTTTGGTCGGCAGAAATTTAATTTCAATGACTAAATAAATATTTTAGTTGCTGTATAGTTACTTTTGGCTACTAAATTTCTTTAGTCACCAAATGGAAAATGAAAATTTACTTTTTATTTTTGGCAACCAAATGTTTGGTAGTCAAAAATTTAATTTCAACGACTAAATAAATATTTTAGTCGCTGTATAATTACTTTTGGCCACTAAATAATTTCACCTTTAAATAATGACCAAAAGTAATCCTTACCAATTACAACCATAGATCAACAAAACAAGTTATATATCATCAATTTTCAATCGAAGATCTATAGATACACAGATATACGTATATATATACGTAGAGAGAGAGAGAGAAAGCATACGCGAGACGGAGCATCAATTGAGTAGAGTTCTTCTCAGCGATGAAGCCTCTCGATCTTGGGGCAGTAGCGGTGGATCTGTGAAGATCGGCAAAGGAGGAGGTGGCAGGGACGTGAAACGTTTTAGAGAGAGATGGGGTTGTAGATCTACAATCTATGTAAATCACTAATAGATCTGTGTGGATAGACTCAGATCTCAGTCTACAGTTGTCAGATCTACGCCGAAACATGGTTGACGCCGTCGTATCTCGCAGCATCGGCCAGGGTTTCACGATCAGAATTGTGTGTGAGGGGGGGAGGGAGAGAGAGAGAGAGAGAGAGAGAGAGAGAGAGAGAGAGATGAAATAAAAGATATAGAAAAAGGGATAAAATAGAAGATATAGAGAGAAATGGTGGTTCTGGTGGCAAAGTAGGTGAGGAGGAAGCGCATCGTCAGAGGGGAAGAGATGGTTCTGTTTTGTGTATTTTAGAGAGGGAGAGAAATGGGTTTAAAGAGAGATGACGTTTAGTTATGAAGGCGAATCTGTGTGTGTGTGTGTGTGTGTGTGTTTGTGTGTGTGTGAGAGAGAGAGAGAGAGAGAGAGAGAGAGAGAGAGAGAACATACTAAAATTACTTAGTCACCGAATGAAAAACAAAAATTTATTTCTTATCTTTAGTGACCAAAAGTTTGATCGGCAAAAATTTAATTTCAATGACTAAATAAATATTTTAGTTGCTGTATAGTTACTTTTGGCTACTAAATTTCTTTAGTCACCAAATGGAAAATGAAAATTTACTTTTTATTTTTGGCAACCAAATGTTTGGTAGTCAAAAATTTAATTTCAGCGACTAAATAAATATTTCAGTTGTTGTATAGTTACTTTTGGCTATAAATTTCTTTAGTCGGTGAATGGAAAACAAAAATTTACTTTCTATTTTTGGCAACCAAAAGTTTGGTAGTCAAAAATTTAATTTCAACGACTAAATAAATATTTTAGTCGCTGTATAATTACTTTTGGCCACTAAATAATTTCACCTTTAAATAATGACCAAAAGTAATCCTTACCAATTACAACCATAGATCAACAAAACAAGTTATATATCATCAATTTTCAATCGAAGATCTATAGGAAAAGAAAAAAAAAAGAAAAAAAAAGAAAAAAGAGAGAGAGATGGAAATTCAAGATACAGTCTTCGGTGATGCCCTTGCAGAAAAGTTGTCCAACAACCATAATTTTAATGAAAGAGGTTTCGAAGCACAGTTTTGGCATTTGAGCACATTCATGATGTATAATGTTGTTGATGCTCTTTCATAGCTGTGAGCTTTGTGACTCTCTGATGCTTCTTCCCATTGACATTAATCAATCCGGATCTGCCTTTGGAAGGAATCTTCCTTCCGAATTTCAGCTTTTTACCGCTAATCATGTATTTTTCTCTTTCTTGAACATTAAACTCAGCCGGGTTTCTGTTGACAGTGCACCTGTCTCTCTTACAAAGGTATTTTCTACGGCTTTGGCTTTGTGCAATTGCTTTCCCTTGCTTTTCAGACTTCAATGGAACTTGACCAGTAAAATCAGCACCTCTTTTAAACTCACCATCATTTTTATACGGAGAAGCAAATGAACCAACATCAACAACAGCACAAGATTTCTCTGAAGGGTGATTTTTACCATAAAAAGAAGATGGTGTTTGTCTTGAGCTATCACCATATACCACACCAGTCCCTCGCCCAGAGAACTTCGAATGGTGATCACAGAGAATCAGAGGTTTCTCAAGGACCTTAGATGTCCCATCCAGACTAACCTTTGGGTGATGATCACAGGGAACAAAAGGTTTGGTGAAAAACTTATGTTTTCCATTCAAGTTGAAAGATGAACAAGACTGCATCCCTGGATCCATGAGGCTGAGCAATTGCATAGCAGGTATGGTTTCATTAGAATGTAGATCGAGTGATCCTGATACCTTTGTGTTGAGATCAAATCCCCCACGCTTGAAAGCAAATGGATATTCGGTAGATGTCCTTCTGAAAGATTCTGAACCAAAATTCCCATTCTGATTTTCAAGATTGTTAGCATTCAGATTCATAAAGTTCAGATCAAGATTCCCAATCCTTCTCCCATCACGCGGTGTGTCTGGGAATTGTGAATATTTTTCACGGTTACTTGACTGAGTTTCATTCTTTTGAGGAATGCTAAGTCCAAAAGGCATGTGATTAGTTCTCGAAACGGTTGGCATCAAAAGGGACCTAGCATGCTCTGCTTCTTCACTCTGTTGTGAACCATGCTGGTATGAGTTATAGACTTCTAAGACTGGCTTTTTGGTAGAAGAGAATCTGCCTGGCACCTTCTCATTTTTCCATTTGCAATTTTGAGGGGTAACATTTCTGATGGGACTAGAATCAGATCTTTGGATTCTACCTGAGCGCATCTCTTGGCACTGTGAAAATGCGCTAAACCCTGAAAAGGCAGAATTTCCCTCCAATTGACCTATATTGAAATGATCTCCACGGATATCAGAAAAACAGTTAATGGGATTTTGTTTGGTGGGTCCCATATTCTCCCTTGTTGTAAACATACCTATGCCAGCTGGAGGTTTTCTCATGCAGTTGCTGTCTTCATGTAACGGTCTAAACACCCCATTCCCATGAACTCTAGGAAAACCCATTAACTCAGCATTTCTTTTGTCATTGGTCTGTTCTGAGAAAAAATGATTTCTGTCCGCCTCATAATGACGTCTTTCATACTGATTTTTCGCCATGAGTTCAACAATTTCCATCGGGATGTCGTCATTTCCTTGTTCTTGAACATCACTTGTATTTTCACTCTTGCGAGTACCAGCAAAAGCCTGGGAAAATAATATTTACATTTCATCAAATTCAGTGTATTCTTGAATATTGAAGCATAGAAGTTCCATTAAGGAGATGTACAAAAGAAAATACATGAAACAAAAATGCAGAAAGGTAAAAGGCAGAGATTCTTATTTACAGATATATATTTATTTATGCAAGCCTGCAATGCACTACGTGCATACACATTGCAGTACAATGAACAACGAGCACTTTGCATGTGTGGCCTAAAAAAATGCGTGAATTTACAAGACATCACAACTATACAAGCAATACTTATCATGTGAGATTGAAAAGTCTATCTAACTCTAGCTCAGATATGAGAAAGACTGTAATCCAATCCATTATACAAGCATGTAAACTGGAATTCTCTATGGATTGATCACTAGTGTCAGTTTACAAATGAGAAAATAGTCACCAGCTGTTCCAATTTTTCTGTCTGGTTTACACCAATTTAGTATTCTACAAAGTGACTTGTTATCCAACTGTAATTTCAATTTCACAAATGAGAAAATGGTCAGTAGCTATTCCAATTTGTTTGGTGGTTTACCAATATATATATATATAGTATTCCAGAAAGATAGTGGTTCTTCAATTATGATTTGAGTGAAGGTTCATTAACAATGGATGTAGTGGACATCTACCTTTGCCCATTAATGCATTTGCTCTTTTACATGTCCCTCTTCCAAAAATTAATAGCAATAACTTGTACCATCATCATCGTGTGTGATTGCAACACAATGGTATGGAAATGCAATTGAACAATTCAACCATAAGAGTTGGCAATCTTATTAATATTAATAAATCAAATTTTGAGAAGACCAATTATGCTGAGTTTTAGTGCCTAGTGAAAAAAGTGCAAAATCTGCTCAATAACAACTTTATGATATCAAAATCCCAAACAAATTGGTACCAACTTGATTAGATAATAATCACAATTAAACAAGAAGAAAACAAACATAAATCATACCACAAATTACCTTGCTGATGTTCTTCAAAAAGCAAAGATCTTAATAGCATATTTCAAGAGAAAAAAACACATACCAATAGTTGATGCTGAGAAAAACTCCGGTCTTTAACCCGAGAAACAAGATTCTACCTCTTATGCAGAGGAGACGTTATGTGATTGGTGATTTTCGCATTGAGATCACACAGTAATCCTTTCCCGAAAAGTTGTTCTAGGGCAGATTTATAAGAAACACTTGACTCTCCAACATACATAATATCGTTTATTAGATGATGATCTTCTCTTGAAATGCCCTTCCTTTGGGCCAACAGTGAATCAATCCCATGTCCAGTCTGAGCAATTTGTCATTTTTCATTTCATTGTGCAACCACATAGCTATTAAGAGAGAGATCCTGACTTTGTGTAGAAGTTCCAGGCTCAGTCTCCATGTTATGTAAATCATTGAACCAAGGGTTTAGGCCATAAACTAATATTTACATCAATACATAGGTCCCGTTTGGTAGAGCTGTGGGAAAGTGATTGTAACTTATAACTTAATACCTTATAGTTTATAGCTGTGAACATAAGCTGATTTTTGACTTATAAATTAAGCTTCTCCTCTCCCACTCAAAGAATAAGTTGATTTTTGACTTACAAAAAGCTATAAGCTGTATTGTTAAGCTAAATCAAACACATCAAAATAGCTTAAATTAAGCTAAAATCTGAAATAAGCTGGAAATAAGCCCTACCAAACGGGGCCATAATCAAGCACATTGCAAGCCATAAAAAATCCATCCTTATTAGCATTCACGACCGACGTAGTCGACACATTGTGGTTGGGGAATTATTTGCGACATGCAAAAAAAGCAAGTTTGCATTTACTGTATGTCGTTGATGTGAAGTTGTAAATGCCCAGTTTTGTTGTAGTGACTTTTTGATCTCATACACTTTGATGTTTGGGGGCTTGCACCTCATATCATTGTGGGGGGATCTAAGTACTTTGTTATTTTTGTAAATGATTTCACTCATTTTAATTGGTTATTTCTTATGAAACCTCACTCTGAGTTACAATAAATATATTACGATTTTTCACAAATGATCAAAACTCAATTTTCTTACACTATCAAAGTTCTTCATGTCGATAATGCCCAGAAATGCAAAGAAACTCAATTCTTGAGATTCTTTCGTCAAAATGGCACACTTTCTCATTATTGTTATCTGGTAACTCCAAACAAAATGGTCACACTGAGTGTAAACATCGCTATCTTTTAGACACTATCCATGCTCTCTTAATCACTTCTTCTTATCCTAAGTGCTTTTGAAAAGAAGCTGCTCTCACAACCACCTATAGTATCAACCATGTTCCTTTCCTACCATCAACAATCAAACCCCATATGAGTGCTTATATGGCAAACTCCCTGACTATATTGGCCTTCGTGTCTTTGGGTGCGCCTATTTTGTCATCCTTCAACCATATAAGCATTCCAAATTAGAACTTCACGCCCATTTTTGTTGTTTCTAGGGATATGACGTTGTACATAAATGCTATCGTTGTTGGAATCCTATTTCTCGTCCTCTTCGTGTCTTTTGTCATGTGATATTTTTGGAACAGGATATGTTATTCTCCATATCTGAGTTCCATTTGTCCGCTCCTCCTACTACATCATTCTTCATTGATCATTCTCTCATTTTGATGAACTTGATACAGCACTACTTCCGAAATGATGTCTTCATTCCATCATGAGGATGCTGCTCTACCTCTGGGTCTTGCTGATGCTTCATTCCCTAGTCCTACTCCTATCCACAAGCCTCCTTAGGATCCTTTTCTACCTTCAAGTCCTGCCCCTATCACATTTCATAGTGAGGCTTATGCATCCCTTGATTCCACTAAATCATTTTATGATCCTAACTCACCTCATCATCATTCTACTCGGGTAAAACAACTTCATTTCCATCTTCGTGATCATCAATGTTCTTCTTATATTCTCTTTCAACATGAATCTTATTCTTATCATGAGGCCAATTCTAATCCTCTTTGGCAGAAAGTGATGAATTACAGGCTTTGACTAAAACTCATATTGGGGATTTAGTGGACCTTTCTTATGGAAAGACTCTTATTGGATGTAAATGGGTCTACAAGATCAAAACTCGTTTTGACATCATTGTTGAACAATACAAAGCACGCTTAGTTGCTCGAGGCGTCACTCAAGATTATGACATTGACTATATGGAGACCTTTGCTCATGTTGCTCACTTTACCTCTATTCATAGTCTCATTGCCATTACTATTGTTCACAAGTGGGGCTTATATCAATTGGATGTCAAAAATACCTTTCTTAATGGGGATATCATTGAAGAAGTATATATGCAACGTTGTCCTAGCTATGATCATCCTTCTTAAAAGGTCTGTAAACTTCATTTTGCTCTCTATGGTCTCAAGCAAGCTTGTCGCGCTCAGTTTTCCAAGTTTAGTACCACTATTGCACAATTTGGCTTTGCTTCTAGTCCATATGATTTTGCTCTCTTCGTTTGCAAGACTGATCATGTTACCACTCTTTTTCTTCTTTATGTTGATGGCATGATCATTACTGGAGTTGATGTTACTAGTATAGCTGAGTTAAAGCACTCCTTCAACATTCATTTGAAGATGAAGGATCTCGGTCATGTTAGTTATTTTTTGGGTCTTGAGATCTCTTATGAATCTAGTGGCTATTATGTCTCTTAAGAAAAATATGCCTCTATTGTACTCAGTTGTGCTAGCTTCAATAATAGCAAGACTGCTTCCACACCCCTTGAGACAAATGTTCATCTCACTCCTTTAGATGACATTCCTCTCTCTGATGCCACGGTTTATCCATAATTAATTTGTAGTTTAGTTTATTTCACAGTTAGTTGACCAGATATCACCTATGATGTTCATCTTTCAGTCGGCTCTTAGCATCTCCACACCACACTTTACTCATTATGTTATTGTTCTTCATATTCTTCGATACATGAAAGGTACTCTATTTCGTGAACTTCATTATTCTATTCATTCTACCTTGGAGTTGCATGCATATTTCGATACCGATCGGGCTAGTAATCTTATTGATCGTCGTTGTTCTACTACTGGATATTGTTTCTGTCTCAATGATTCCTTGTTTTCTTAGCCGAATAAGAAATAAACTGTTGTTTCCAAATATAGTACTGAGGTTGAATATCGTGCTTTTGCGGATACTACACAAGAATTATTATGGCTTTGCTAATTACATGAAGATTTGAGGATTACACATTCCTCTGCTACTGTTCTTTGTCGTGACAACCATGTGCCATTCAAATTGCTCACATGATGTGTTTCATGATAGTACCAAACACATTGAAATTGATAGTGACTTTATTCGCGAACATATTGTTCGTGGTACTATTTTCTTTCATTATGTTACCTCCATCGATCAGACTGCTGATGTCTTCACCAAATTACATCTACCTAGACGTTTCAGACTTTACTTTCCAAACTCAAGTTGGTATATACTAACCCACCTTGAGTTTGAGGAAGGATATTAGAATATATATTAGATATATTAGAACATGTAGTTGCTATGATTTGATATGATTGTATTACCATATAATGGTTGATTGTATTTCTATAACTAGCTTTGCCCTTCACTATATAAATGATCTTGTGCTCATTGTTTTATTCATTCAATTCAATACAATATTTATTTTCACTCAATTCTGTTATCAATAATTAAGAAGAAAAAATCCGATTACTATACTTCACTAAATTGAAAAAGTGCCATTGCCGCTTTAGCATCATAGAATTTGGGTGGATTTGTATATTTTAATGTGTAGCACAACGTCACAACTAGGGCTGTGCGAAATATCGCCCAATCTGCTAAAACTGCACTGATTTGCATCAATCCGCACCACTCTATCTGCAAACTGCGGTTTAAACTTTAAAGTCTGGCTTCGAAATTGCTCCACTCTACTATAGTTAGTACATATATATATTTTTTAACATGTAATGAAATATTAAAGTAAAAATGAGTGTGAGAGATATTTAATATTGAAATTTATTACAAATTAGTAGTTACATATATGAAAAATATTATGTAAAATTAATTTGTGTTATATATATGAAAAATATTATGCAAATTAGTGTTATATATTATGCAAAGGCGTGATAATTGATTAGAATATTCTTTAATCTGTCAATTCGCCCAAAACTACTCAAATTACAATTTGTCAATCTGCTAATTTGCTAATCTGTCATTCGGTTTATAATTTTACTCTCAAACCACCCAAGTTGCACCGCGCACATCCCTAGTCACAAACTTACTTATTGGTTGTAAACTATGCATAACGGGTTGACAACAATACTTTGATTTGATCAGACAAATTTGGAATTCTTTTTTTTAAATCACTCGGGTACGAAATTGAATTAACCCAAGGTGAGAAAGGCACCAAATACACGCGAAAATTCTATAGAAAATTTTGTTTCCTTACCTGATTAGTTCTTTTATCCATAGTTCTTTTGGTTTTTCGACATATAATTTGCACATATTATAATGGTACAATGATATATATAGATATTTACTAGTGTATGCCTGTGCCTAAAATGTATTTACTAATTTGCACATAAATAATGTTAGAATTAAAATGTAGCTGTAATTTATACGAATTATATTGAAATTTATGGAGTCTGTCATTTTTTGATAAAGATACTAAAAAAATATAAAGAAATATTATTCTTGTTAAAGAACTAGTAACAATTTTGCTTATACCACATGCTGTACATAACTCAAATAAAATACCAACTTTCCATAACCTTAGTACAAATTAATAAACAAACATATAAGTTTTATAGCATTCAAAAAAACATAAGTTTTATAAAGTTTACCAATATTGCAAATCAAAATATAAGAGGAAGTAAAAAAAAAAGAAAAAAAAAATCAAATATTAAAGCTACTGCATACTCGTTAACATTTTATAATAAAAAGAAAAAAATTACTAAACACTACATAAAGCACACCAGCAAATGCCCTGCAATCTCAACAAATTAAATATCAAACAGTGTATACCAACCTATACTCATCAATTCTAAACAAATCAAATATTAAAAAATAAATAAATTAAATACTGTGG